GGGGGGGGAGGGGGGCGGGAGGGAAGGAAAGTATCTAGTCTACTCCCCTACCTATATAGCTTTACTATCTTTTAAAATTTACATTAAAATGAAAATATACAGCCAAAAAGTTGCAAACAGACATACGTACCATACGTCCTACCAGCTTTCCATTTGTCCTAGTTGCATGCCAGTGAACTTTGTGTCATGGCCTCACAACAAAACAAAAGTGAGAAGTTACCGTAGTTCAATTTCAAGAGAAACCAGAAAATAGTCAGAGGTCTGGCAAGGAGCTGCAATTGTGCTTCAGGTCAGACCAAGAGTGAAGCGTATAAAAATTATGCATCTCAAATTCCCAGGGTGTGACAAGAACATTGTACAGTTAGGATATGGACTACAATGGAAACTTTAAGAATCTCAAGTTGTATAACTTTACCCAATACCACTTAGTAAAGGTCAAGTAAATAGTTTGTTAGAGCACGTCTAAAATAATACACTGACACAGATGAGAATTACAGTACAGAGTGTCCCATCTTACTTTGAATGAGTACTTTGTGCCTTCCTCTGGACTCAGCCAAAGACCCAGTCAACCCACCTATAAGTATTGCAGTGTCAACAGCATGGGGAACCAAAGGCCACTAGATGTAACGGTGACCACATCACTCCCTTGTGTACTTGTTGGCTACTAACACAAATGAGCCTTAATCAGGTAGTACAGAAACACTCAACTCCCAGCCTACGGGCCAGATATGGCCTCTGGCACTGTGTCACCAGCCCACAGGACTCCCCATGGATCTGTGGAGATCCCCGAAGACGGCAGAACTGCATGCTAGATGGGGCATGTAGGGCAGCACAGGACATAATCCAAGAGCTCAATGCTGGCCAGGTGCTGGCTTGATGCTGGCCAGGGCCTAATGCTGTCCAGGCAGGGGCAGTGAAGGGCCCGATGCCAGCCCACAGACTGGTCCCATGTCATTCATTTGGCCCATGGGGCCAAAACCATAAGCACCACTGAGCTAGCCCAATGAGCTGCTTAGTTTCAGGGCAGATGCTGGCTGGACCTTGGATTCTGTCTAGTTTGGTATTAGATAAAGGTCAGGTGCTTGTATATAGCATAGTTATCCTGCATTGTAGAGAAAAAGGAATGCTTATTATATAATAAATGTACATTCTGTTCCACTAATGTGGACTTCCTGCAATTAAAACCCAGATTTAACATACTTAATCTAAACAGTGGAATTGACAAAAGGCAAGGCAAAATGAGGTAGCAGGATATCCCCCACATGCAAAATTGTTAGGTCCATGAATCCTAGAGAGGACTGTGAGGAACTTAAAGCCAGAAGATTGGACAACTTATTGACAAGTGGAGGTACACATTAGAAATAAGTTTCACAAAATCTTAGTGTTGGAAGGGACCTAAAGCATCACATATTCCAGACCTGGCACAAACGCAGGATTTCCACCAAAGTTCCATGTTTATAAAGAACACATACACATCATATAAAATAGAGCTCTGATGGAAGCAAATCTGGAAGTACTTATAATAATACCCTCCAAAATACCTGCTGTAGCCTGATTTTGACAACAAGGAGTCAACTACAAGCACCTAACCAGACTTCTCTTGACCCCAACTGTTCCACTGTACAGAGAATTTAAAATCTAGCAGTAGAGGACCTAGTCAAATAATCAACCAAACAAAACAAAACAAAAATGCCCATACTTATTGTCACAACCCAGTGATTTTGGTGCCTCAGCACGATGGAATTTTCCCGCCACATGAGAGCCTCTTGCAAAGTAAAAGGTTTTCTGTTGCAGCAGAAAACCCCGGTGCAAGAGAGTTCCCGCCATTCGAATGCAAATTTGTGTCCCACTATTGGCCGGTTCTAAATTATTCCTATGTGGCAGCTAGTAATTGGCTTGCTGGCTGTTTAAAATTTCGTGCAACTTCCGCCCAAGTCGGAGAACTTTGAGCACGCTGCAGAGTGCCTCTGAAGAGATCTGACTTGCGGCTGAGCTGATCGATAGACTGATCACCTATCGATTCTTCTCCCCGTCGCCGAGCGCAATCCCCGACGTACCCTTGCCCCGCCAGCTTGATTTGTGGACGGATGAGCTAGCCTGAGCCTTGCCAACTGGAACAACTAACATAGTTGTTCAGACGACCGGACTGTCTGCGTCGCAGCTACAAGCGGCATAAGTAAAGTTTTTGCAACCATTAAAGCCTTGTCCGCCTCTCTATTCATCAGCCCGCCCAACGAATGAGTAATTATTAAATCACCTCGAGTTGGCTTTGGCCGTCCGAGACACTTATCAGGGGAATTGGTTGTAGCCATGTTGGTCTAAGGACATAGCCAGACAAGGTTATTTGGGTAAATGTGATATCTTTTAATGAGACCAACTGAATAAACTAGTTGATTGTTTATTCAGTTGGGTAAATGTTTATAGCCGACAGCCCATTTTAAGGAGGCATATCGACCAAAACTAATCCAATTTCCAATACAGCAGTGGTTCTCAAACTTTTTTTTTCACAGACCACTTGAAAATTGCTGAGGGTCTCAGTGGACCACTTAATAAACTTTTTTTGTTCTACAAATCAAAGCACACAACTCATATTTTAATATCAGTAGTCTGATCTTTCTAATATGATGGATGTGCCTGGTTTTTTAAGCAAAGTTCTCGGAAATCGGGCATAATGTTTGTCAGCTTTAGCCTTAGGTCACCATTCGGCAGACCACCTGAATGGAGCTCACAGACCACAGTTTAAAAACCTCTGTGATACAGCGTAGAGAGCTGCATGCAGCTGGTAAACCTGTTGTGGTGGAAGGGCGGGGGGAGGGAAGGGGCATGGGGGGTACAGATCAAGGCCCCTGCGGTGAGGGAGGGAATGAGGCTGGAGTTGAGGCAGCTCAGGATGAAGCCACAGCTCATCTGGACAGTGCGGGGGTGGCCCCTGCTGCTGCATGCACCCTGAGAGGTGCACCCTGAGGGGTGCCCCCAGATCTGTATGGGGTGCAGGCAGGGTGAGCTGTAGCTGCAGACTGGGGCCAGGGCTGCGCAGGGCTCTTCCCAGTGGGGGCTGGGCTGCAGTGGTGGTGCTGGGATGGGGGTTACGGTGAGGAGGGAAGGCTGTAGCCACCCCAAAATTCACTACAGCCCACAACACCCTCTCTCCCAGCACCACCACCACCCACTCTGAGTGCAGCCATGGCCCCCTGCCCCTCCTCAAGCACCAGAAAGAGCCCAATCCCAGCCCTGGCCCCAGCCTGCAGCTGCAGCCCACCCCACTCACACCCTGCGCAGACCCAGGGGCACACAACTCCCCCAT